GTCATTTTGAATCTTATATGAAAAACAAAAGTATTTGCATCAAGGTCCCATAATGTCTAATGTATATACCAAGTTTGAACAAAATCCATCTGTAAACAGCCGAGAAATGGTTGATTTTTAGGATTTGTTAGCACAAAAATAGCCGCCATTCGGCCATCTTGAATCAGATGGTGAAACAAATTGACGTGCATATGTATAATATCATGTATGATGTATGTGTGAAGTTTGATTGTGATTGGTCCAGGCATTTCTAAGATACAGGTCCGGATGCACGCACAGGCGCACGCACACACGCACAGACACACGGAGGTCAAAACAAAAGTCCCCGTTTTCGGACTGCGTCCGAACGGGGACTAAAAATGAACATGAAAACAATGATGATGGAAGGACAGACACACCCCTTCGTTAGCATCATCATACATTGTATAAAGACAAAATAACACAAGACAAACAAGTAACCTAATATGTTTTGGAAATCAAATCTGAAAAAAGTCAACTGATAATGAAGACATTTAGAGAGCACTAACCTGTATTTGGGTTAATAACTGCTGTAATATGAAAATGTACAGGAAACAATCCGTTGCTATGGTGTTCTTCATATGTGTGTTTATGGAAATCATGTTCTCTTTGATGACTTGGTAACGGAACATCCGGTTGAGTTGCTTTCCTTTTTCTAGGAAATTAACAAAAACATATACCACATTTACATAAATCACAGAACTGCAATTTTGTTATAAAAGGCTGCCACTTATTGCATAGCTCATGATAGCTCACTCTAGCTCCTGGTCCTTCAGCCAATCAAGAAACACTTTATTTATTCATTTCCCAACCAACCAGATTTTGGCTTTTAGAAATACTGCAATTACTTCCCAGTGGAAAAGAGACAGAAGATCTTGAAAGGCTGACCTTGATTGGCTACCCAACCCCAACATCTGACTATCAAGCCAATCAGAGAACACCTTACTTAATTACAGGTTTCAACAACTTACTCAACTTGAGTACTGGTCTTAATTGCTTACAGTTCATAAAGGTCTTGTTGATCATTCCCCAGGACGACATTTAATCACCATTGTTTGTATTGTGTAAACAGAGTAAATGTTTCTGAGTGAAGTTATTTTATATAAGAAAGAATCTGATTGGTAGCTTATACAGAGTAAGAAAAATACCACCTGGTCAATTTAAAAAAAAGGGCCTGATAGATAAAAATGGTTCTTCTGAACACAGCAATGTGAGTGAGAAAAGCAACATGTATGCTTTTATAATGTCTTTAAAATGGTATGGAATGGAAGTGATAATTGGCTTTTCTGGATCTTGATTAGGGCTAGTGATATTGAGTGGAATGAAGTAAGGTCTGTGCTATTGAATTTGAGACAACTTGAACCAACATCTGAATCACTTAAATCGATATATGAAAACTGAAATACTTACGTTGCTTTGCCTTTCAGCTTCAACTTATTTCTCATATGTGAACTTTTGGCAATCTTCTCACTGATGACATGAGTTGGTTGTGGTGTAACGTTGACAAGACTGCTGGACGGTAACCGACTCTCACTCCATATACGACAAATGTTATCCCGACATGATGTCATTAAAATGTTACCCACAGAGCCCCTACAGAAATCACATAAAATTCACCATAATTAAAAACATAGTGTAACTATTACAACCTTGCCCATCGAGAACTAGATAATTAACCCTTAAACGGTCTAGGCAATGTAAATGTACATCAACAATGATTAATGTATTAACATCATAAAACAGATAATTATTCATTTATGCAATATATAAACACTGATGAAGACATATAATATCTCCTTAAAAAAGAAACATTTAAATTGTAATGTTAAAAGTCAACTTGCAGAGGTCAAAATTAAGGTGAGGTTGGGGAACCTGATGAGGAAGAATTTTCCCCAAGACTCTTAGCTTTAAAGCGGGAGAGTCGTCACCTGAGCACACACTGGAGTTGAGTCCCAAGCGACGATAACAACACACGCTAAAAACGCAAAGGCTCATGGGTAGACGATTGTTTGTAAACAATGACATGATATGGCCATCTGACACATGCGCAGGTGACGATTCCCCCGCTTTAATGTATCAACAAGCTTGCTTGGACTCTAAGATACATGTGCTTCATCTCTGTCACTTTTATTTCTCCCTGATATTACCGTATAATACTTCACAAGATCTATTTCTCCCCATCATTTTTAACATCATTTCTATATCTTCTATCCTTGAAATCTCTCTCTGAATCATTCTCCGTCTCTCATCCTTTGAGCCATTTTAAATTTTCGTACAAGTTTAGGCTCATTGTTGTAACTAGAAGCCGACCTGGCCTATCAAGAGTTGAAATATAACTTACAGTGGTGCATATTTGCTGGTTAGCCTCCATGAGAACCCAGTTACAGCTCTTGGATGTGCAATATATACAAAGTTATACTTGACAGCACTCGGTGTTGCATCTGCACTGGATTGATCTAGTTTGGGTGGTTTGATGCAGTACCATATCTTTACTAATCTATCAGCCTAAAAAAAAAAGTACATGTCTAATAAGCTACCGGTAGCTTTCCCTAAAAAATTTAAGTACTACTGTATATCAATATAAAAATTGGGGTTAAAAGCTCAACTTTGAGGTACGTTTTATCTAATCACTGCTGAACAATAAATAGGTGTGAATATTTTGGGGACACATGGTCGAAACAAATGAATAGGATTATGAACAATGTCGTTTTGAACCAGATGGTTGAAACAATAATGTCGGTCACGATCTTGTTGAATTGGGGGTGCGGTTAGTAATAGGTACTTTTCATGTTTTCAGTTTTTTTGTTAAGAACTCTTTAACCCTGAAGCCGAAGTTGGGGATGTGGTTAACTAAATTATGTATACGGTTTATATTAGGACTTTAACAGTATGGAGCATATTACATGCATGCACACAACAGGTGGTTACATACAATGTATAAACTTACAGAAACAAGTAACCCAAATCAATACAATTTGCATATTGTTCAAAACTAAACAAAGTATCAAGATAATATACAGGATTTTAACATCATGCTACTGTTGGTGTATGTTTATACTTACTTTGCCGGCTGATGCAAAATACTGCCCATCAGCGGAAAATTTTAGATGATATATCGGGCTAGCAGTCCTACATAGACAGAAAGATACATGTATTATAAATTTACATATGAATATACTGGCACATTAAAAACTGCGAGGAAATATCCAAGATGGCATCTTATTATAGGTGCCTTTTCATAATAATTAAATATGGCCTCTGTAAGAAAATTTAGTGCATGGCTACATATAGCTCTCTTCTCATACGTTGAAGTACACCCACCACCCCCACCCCCACCCCCACCCCCAACAGTACTAATATAGGGGTACTAATATAGGTAAATCTCATTGCTTCACAATAATGTGGTGGTCTTTTTCATGTATTAAAACTTTAAAGACCAAGGTACTTACTTGCATTGACAAATACATTCCCAGCAATGTTCCTGTACATTGCCACTATCATGGTCAGATACGAGATCATCCACTGTCTGGCTATCTAATGAAGTACATGCCCAAAGCTGAATTGAATCACTTCCTGTTAAGAGTCTGGTTCCTGATATATATAAAACCAACCACATTTAAACACTATTACTATGAAAGTTATGAGCTATTTTTTTTATAAGTTATATTTTTCTCGCTGGATTTAAAATTTTCTTTAAATTCATATTCGTTTTGAACACAACTCAACAACTCTTGAGACAGCAATGAGAATGTGAAATAACTAGTGATTGTGTCAACATTTGTTTGGATATCAATAAAACATGCTAAAAGTTGTTAATTAGTATGCAAATTAATATTCACAAATTTGTACCAAAATCTAATCAGGACTTGATTTTATCATAAAGTATCCGAGTACCGAATTTCATCCCAATCAACCCAGTGGTTCTTGAAATATTGCTGGAACAAGATTTGACACATACATCCATTCATACAAACAGACAGACAGACAGACATTAATACAACATTACCTCCCTTTATGCTCTGCACACAGAAACCAAAAAATCTGACATTACCGGTATGTACATATGTTGAGGTCAAAATAATCTGATGTGCACATTTTAAGATTAAATAAATAAAAATAATTAATAACAATTATTGTTATAAATATTGAGTGACTATGCTATGAAAACAAACAGTATATTAATCTCATGACTGGTAAATAATCAGTTCTAAAAAACAGCTGTGAGTGACATATTTGACTGGCTGAGTGATTATGGCCTGTGTTTTGTGTCAATATTAGTAGAGAATGATTGACATAATTATCTGTAGCAAATCTAGTGAAAAACTTTTTTTTCTTACATTTTCCATTCAACTCATCAAAAATCAGTGAAAATAAACTTTAGCGAAAATTTATTCAAGGTGAAATGAACTATTTTACAGTAAGATAAAGCAATGATCATCTTGATAAATAAAACAATAGCAGAATGTAGAATATTAGCTGATATCACATCCAATGAACAATACATTGTACATCAAACGCTAATTAAATGTACATACTATTGTTAAAAATCAGTATGTGTGCAGTGCAATAATTATCACCACTGTTCATGAGCAAAGCATGAGATAATCAGTGTTTCCAGATTTAGAAATATACAAATGTCTTTCTGTTTTAACATTTCATCACTTATGGTGGTATTAGAGAGAACTACAATACCAAATGCATGTAAATTGTCATGACGTAAATGTATTCTGTCTACTGTAAAAGAGTTAATTATTCACTGGGTTTTAATTTTGCTTATTTCGCTGACTGGAAAATGAGCCAAATTAAAACCCAGTGAATATGTAAAATTTAGCAATAGAACACATTATTTAAATTACAAAACCGTGCCCAAGATGCTAAATCAGCTAAATTTAAACCCAGTGAAAATTAATCATTTTACAGTATGTCTATTGTACCACAGCACCCTCTATCAGAGGTCATCACAGATTAATTAAATGACCTTAGTTGAAGACTCTAATCTAACATTACATCAATTGCACAGTCAACAATTAAAGAATTGTGGAGGTGGCATATTCTTTATGGATCCTCGCAAAAGTCAGTTCATGTAATAAACTAACTTTCAAAAGGATATTACTCAAATTTTCAATTAAAATTTTCTTGAAATTTCTAAGTTGTAACGATAAACTTAATGTACCGTTCTTCCAGGATTATGCAACATGTATATTTATATTTGAAATGTTATATATTTAAATATTATATTTTTTATTGCAATGGGAAATGGTAAAATTGATTGGAGCTTAGCATCTCTTGGTGTTCATTAGGTTTTCCTGAATTTCCAAAACAAGATTGAACACCAGGGAGTCGTTTTTGTTTAGTATTTTCATTTCAACTCCTATCCTACATAATAAGCATGAGATTATCAGACTGTGATACTCCGGTGAAGATTAGTCTGCCCTGTAGAGATCATGGAAAGTATATGCTACTACCCCCTAAGTTAAAATATATTGATCATTGACTACAAAAGACCTCCTAGCGCAATGTAAATTTTACAAGAGTTGTCTGGTCACATCAATCATACTATGTACAGGGCTGTCATTTGGATATCTTTGCAAAATATAAACATTTTCAAGAAACATTTTGTTATACACTTTAATGAATATTGTAGAAAAATCATTTATATGTTTTGAATCCATTTTTCGAGAAAACACTGATGTATATATATGACATGAGAATCTTAAACTAATTGAATCACACAATCTTTCGATAGCACACTTGGTAATTTGCATTTTCAATTATTTTTTTTCCAGTATAGGTGGTTCCACTAACTAAAGAAGTCAACACTCTCATGCAGACAGCTCATGTGTGGAGGAGATGGCATCCAAATCAGAAGCAATCACTATTTTATTAATGATTTTTCAATATTTCATTTCATTATATATTCATGGTACAATCACCTAGAAGTACGAGTTACCATCACTGCAGGATTGGCTTCTGTATTAAAGAAGCAACTGACAAGAACAATCTCTATAATTATTAGATCTTTAATAAAGTATAGATTAGTCTCTGTCCATTACTCAACATATACCCTAGTCAATGAATACATCTTCTTCAAGCTTTGTGAAAACAGATGGTATATTTGGTAACAGAGTGTGCTTAACAAGATGATAAAATGTTGAATAATATCAATAAATATGAGACTGTAAACACATTCTAATTTGTAAACAAGCCATGCATGACACAGTCCCTGTTAGTTGCCAAATTTAAGTATATAGTTTTGTTTATAGTAATATAGTTTGAACATAAACATGTCAGAGATATGGATCCAGAAGCTGATGCTTGATTATGATGATTTTTTAACATTAAAATGATTGTATCTGATCGTCAAACGAGTACTTGTCCATATTGAGAGATATTGCTCTGGAACAGCGTTAATTAAAACAAAATGGCCACTGGTCAAACCAATACATGTGTATATCTATGACATGATGTATAATGAATATATAAAATTTGAACATAATCATTCAAAGCATGTCAGAGATATGACACTAGAACTGCATTCATTAAAACAAAATGGCCACCAGTTGGCCATTTTGATTCCAATCTGAAAAACAAAATGACGTTCACAACTGGGACCCAAAATGTCTAATGTATGTACCAAGTTTGAATGCAATCTGTCCTTGATTTTTGAACACAAAAATGGCCACCATTCAGCCATCAGATCATCAAATCAATATATCGTTTATCTATGACATGATGTATAATAAATATATCAAATTTGAACATAGTCCGTCAAAGCATGTCAAAGACATGGCACTAGAATCGCATTCATTAAAACAAAATGGCCACCAGTCGGCCATTTTGAATTCGATCTGAAAAACAAAATAACATGCATCAAGGTCCTATATTGTCACATATGATGTTTGTAACAACTTTGAACAAAATCCATCTGTAAACAGAAATGCTTGATTTCAATGTTTCTTAGTACAGAAATGGCCGTCATTCGGCCATAGTGAATCATACAATAAAACAAATTGATGTGCATATGTATAATATTATGTATGATGTATGTGTGAAGTTTGAATCTTATCGGTCCAGGCATGTCTAAGATATACTAATAAAAAAATACATTTCAAAGAGACATTTTAGTTCATTTTCTTGTGAAACTGTAAAAATATCAGTTTGAGAGTTTCACCCAATATAATTTAACTTCATCACCATACAAAACCTTCTGAAGAGTCTAGTTTTCCAAAATCAAACTAAATTTAAGATGTCGACTTAAATTCACATACTGGAATTAATTACCCATTCACAATCTTAACATTGTATGGTGTATACATGTAGATTTGTCAGCAATGGTACCTCACACATTTGTGTATTTACATTGATATAAATACAGTATTTGTTCCATTAGAAGCACATTTAGAAGAAGTGCATACATGCATAAACCAACAAGCAGCTTGTCGGCTGAGATAGCTCCGCTGTTAGCAATGCACATGGCAATTAAAGAACAGAAGATATGATTACAAAATGAACAAAACTGAGAGAGGTCCATATGCAGTACCTATATATATATATCAAAGCAATTGGATTTGAGGTTTTTAACAAGAAGTCGAAAATATCACTTTTTACCAAAAATTACAAAAATATTCACCAAAATTAGAGAATTGAAGATATCATTATGAAATGAACAAATCTGAGAGAGGTCCACATGTAGTACCTATATATGTAATATCAAAGCAATTGGACTTGCGGTTTTCAACAAGAAGTCGAAAATATCACTTTTTGCCAAAAATGACAAAAATATTCACCAAAATTAGAGAATTAAAGGTATCATCATGAAATGAACAAATCTGAGAGAGGTCTAACCAAGGTACATATACCCGAAGTATGAAAGCATTCAGGCTTGTAGTTTTCAAGAAGAAGTCGAAAAAGTAAAACATTGACACGAACGACGACGGACGACAACGGCGGAGGACAATCACTCATATGATAAGCTCCGCTCAACAAAGTCGACAGCGGAGCTAAAAATTGCATTTGTTGTATACTGAATCATTAAAACATGACTTATTATGACCATAGAAACACCAATAATTTACATATTAAGCGCATGAACTATTAACATGCAACTGACTATAAAGAATTCCATGGAAACTACTTAATCTAAATGAATATGTCATTATTTTATAGCATTGTTTACATAAAACAATAAAACTTACCATCTTGGTTCCAAGATAAATTATACACTAAAGATTCTATTTTAAAACATCCCGTCTGGTGCCACTGATAATCTAGTTTCTATGAAAAGAAAGATACACTCATATTAAATTGTTTACTTGTAAATGATGGTGCATGTACATTTTTGTAGTTACTGTTGATAGAAAGACTCAGGGTGAAGACAAATACTAGCAGACTCTAAACATCCACTCGTTATATACCACTCCAACAACAAATATGCAGTATGTGGCGATGACGCACCACATGTAATTCAAATTCCTAACATTGGATTTTTGAAGATCTTTCACCTACATGTGAAAGCATACCCTAGTATGCCATTCATATTTCGGTTATTTGGAAAGAAAGATTAAATATAATTATCATATCTTTGTAGCATAATGGTAACAATGGTATATTATGAGGTTATTATGAGAATACCACAAAGTATGCATGAAGGCAGTACTGTAACAGTGATTGTATCGGCTGATGTACAGCAGAGGTCTATGTGATTCCTTACTGCCTGAGTGCATACTTTGTGGTATTCTTGTGATAACCTTATTATACATCTAATTTTTGCTTGCATAAATAATTTATTGAGAGATTACAGGTCAGAATGACAACCAGACATGTTTTGCACTGTGCGTGAGCCATAACGTTTCTTTGTCCAAAAGATGTTTGAATAAATAACCTGGAATGCGTCAACGTTGGTGATGTACATGTACATGTAGTTTACTGAGCATAAGAGAAAATTTGAATTTGAAAGCTGATATGTTTTAGAAAGAGTGCTGAAACAACCATTTACGGAACAACTATTTTTAAATTATTGTTTTAAGTGGTAGATGTATAATAATTGTTACAGCATACTTACATGTGTGCTCTGTTCTTGTACTGCGGTTGGTTCAAAAATGTACACTTGATTTGCATAGGAAGCGGCAATCTGCCAACAATACAGAAGTCAATATGTTACTATGTTCTTTTAACTGCAAGTAATGACTTTAATGCAGGGTTCAAGTGAGACAGGTATTCCACTGCTGACAAACATGAAATAGTAAATGCTTTCGCGAAATGTCTGGGGCAGAAATATACAGATGTGGCTATTCAAATTCACCGCATTATATTTGAATAGGTTTTCAAGGTTTTTCAAGAATATCTTGATTTACATACGATGATTATTATATATAATACAAGTAGATAATTTCTGGAAAAAGGCAGGGCTCACAACCTAACAGTAAAATAATATGTGGAATTTCTAGTGGTGTTGACTATATATATATATTGATTACAGGTAGTATTTGAGTGCTTTGGTCTATTTCCAATATGAAGTCAATATAAAATGTTCATATATTCATTGGGTCCATATAGAGTCAATTATGTTAATAATATTCAGATGATGTTCCTACCTTTCCATTCTCTGCAGAGCAATCAATACATCCGACTTGTATGTTTCCATGTGTAGCGCCAGGAATGATCTGCACTCTTTGAAAGTCACTTGCCAATATTACAATATCACACCCTGCTGCATAAACCTGTTAAAATAGAACACAATATCCATATCATGATCTGTATAGAGAATTACTTAAAGTTACTTTATTTTCGCTGAAGGAAGGAATCAGTGAAAATTTGAATCCAATGGAAATACCTTTTTTCCTATATTTTACATTCAACTCATCAAAAATCAGAGAAAATACCGATAAACTCCACACAAAACATCCAAAAACTAATGCGAAAACTAATGCCAGTTAAAATAAAGTATTTTACACTAACAAAAATACTGACATACTTTTTGACTGGTAGGGGAATGGGAGACACATGTATGTAGATACAAAGAAAATCATGTGTTTTTTTTCATCACATACAAAGTTACAAATTATGTATTTTAAACACTATCTATCACTGGTTTAAAAACTGTTTAGTTGTTTCAACCCAAGTTGTGGGTAAACCTACAGGAAGTTCAAAGCCTAACCTAAGTCTAAGTCTAAGTGGAGTACAAGTCTCATGTAATTAGCAAAAAAATTTACCGGCATTTTGATCTGAATTATAACATGGACAGCAAGAGTTGTGAGATAATTTAATTTAATATGTAAATAATACCAATACAGGTCTATCAAGTGCCCTAAATGGACCACATCAATTATCATTGGTTGAACAGTCAACTTTACACAACTTTATTCATAAGTAATTTACTTGGCACCACAAAGCAGATACAAAAAGATTGTGTAAAAAAATAGAAAACAAAGATAATTAAATTATGCAGACCAACTACATGCATCAATGACATAGAAAGTGTTGTCTGAATGAAATATACATGTATTAGTATTAATAATAAGAAGGCATGTTGTTTTCATACATACACATTCATAACAGACACATTGCCTAGTTACTCAAATAAGGACTACAAGCCACCAATAATGTTGTCTTCTAAAAAAAAACGCATTGTATATTTGAACTCTGAGATCATTTATAATAAATTTTATGTGATACAAATATGACTAATTTGGTTCTATTTCATGTATAGAAAAATGTAAATGATTTGGTAATGATTTGAAATTCTGTTCAATTCACACAAGCAGCAACAGATTGACTCAGGTGGACCACTGATTAAGCTAAATGAGTCTGAGGAATGCCTAGAAAATGCATCGCTACATAAGTACAAAAGCAAATAGATACCGTAATATAATTTACTAAAAGGTCAAACTCAGGACATTTTACACAAAGTATATTATTACAAATTAGATCTCTACATTTACCATCATGAATTACTGCTGATTTGACTCGGATTCCACCACAAACTATGTACTGTTAAATTAACATTTCATTTATAAGACTGTAATTATACTAGTCCATGGTTTGAACTTCAGTATTCTGAGGGTATGCATGTAATTGATTGAAATTGTGATAGAAATATGAAGGGATTAAAGCATTCAGGTGGGACCTTTCATGGCATTCGTCTCCAAGGCTTCTGTGGATATTGAGCAATGCAGATAATACAATGCAGTTTTTATAATGTATTCACTAGGCTAGAAATTGGGGCAGGATATTTCACCTCAGTAATCCATTTTACATGTACATGTACCAATCAAGGCATGGTGAATGATACTATTCATATAATAGAAATGTTATTAAATCTCTTTTTATTGTGCTTTATTCATTTTTTGGGGATGCTGTAACTCATACATCCAGCATTTGTTTTTGCAACAAAAATTGTGATTTTATAATCTACAGGTGTTCATAGTTATACTATTTCATCAAAGTCGCTGTGACTTCCTTGTAGAGACTCCAGTGATATGTTTTGCATTTTTGTAACTTGCCTAAATTAAAACAGTTTACTGTAATCAAGTGAATTCTTTTAATTTTGAGTGCTATACTGAAGAGGTATTCACTAGGATTTCATTTTGGCTTATTTCACTAAATTGATCTCAGTGAATATACAGTGTTAACAGAATGTACAATATATTGTTTCCTTCAAAGACCAGTGAAATATACAAAAATATATCTGCTAAAATAAAATCCTGCAACTATTAAAGACAATAAACAATCACTTACATGTTTTACATATTTTGATTACCAGTTGAAATCAAAGAAAGCTTAGAAAGAACTCCCGTGTG